AAATCATATGATCATATCAATCAGTGCAGCGTTTGACAAAGTTCAATACCCGCTCATGATCAAAATGCTCAGAAAAACAGGAATAGAGGTGAAATTTCCTCAACCAAGAATTAAAAAAAACAAAAACTCTGCAGCTAACATCATATCCAATGGTGAAAGACTAAAAACTCTTTTCCCACAAGATCAAAAACAGACAAGGATGGCTTCTCTCACCACTCTTATTGAACGTAATGTTGGAAGATCTAGCCCGTGCAATAAGTAAGAAAAGGAAGTAAAAAGGCGTACAGATCAGAAAGAAAGAAGTAAAACTGTCCTTATTTCCAGATGACATGATTGTATACGTAGAAAATCCCAAGGAATCTATAAAAGAAACTCCTACAACTAATAAATGAGCTTAGAAAGTTTGCAGGATACAAGATAAACATCCAGAAATCAATTGCATTTCTATGACTAGCAATGAACATGTAGATACTGAAACTAAAAATACCATTTACAATCACTAAAAACAACAACAACAACAAAGTATTACTTAGATGTTAATCTGACAAAACAGGTACAGGACTTGCATACTAAAAACTGCATTATGCTGATGAAAGAAATTAAAGAAGGTATAAATAAATGGAGAAAGATCCATTTATTTAAATAAATGGAGAGTCTTCATGGATTGGAAGACTCAACATAGGAAAGATGTCAATCCTCTCCAAACTGATATGCATGTTTAACACAATTCTTATGAAAATGCCAGCAAAGATTTTTTTGTCAATATTAACAGAATTATTCTAAAATTTATATAAAGGGCAAAGAAGCTAGAACAGATAAATATTTTCCTCTATGTTTTGAATATAAATTTTTGAAATATTTAAAAAGTATTTTTGAAGAAGAATAAAGTGGGAAGAGTTAGTCTGCCCAATTTCAAGACTTATTCTATAGCTACAGTAATCAAGACTGTGTGTTATTGATAGAGGGGTAGACGAACAGTGAAACAGAACAAAGCACCCAGAAATATACCCACACGAATATGCCTGATTGATTTTTGACAGAAGTGCAAAAGCAATTCAATAAAGAGAAGATAACCTTTCCAGCAAGTGGTGTTGGAGCAACTGGACATCCAAAGGGCAAAACCAAAAAAACAAAAATAAAATAAAAAACACCTCAGCCTAAGTGTCACACCTTATACAAAAATTAACTCCAAATGGGTCAAAGACTTAAATATAAATTGTAAAACTTGTAGGAAAAAAATAGAAGATTTTGGGATCTGGGGCTAGGCAAAGAGTTCTTCATCTTGACACCAAAACCATGATCCATAAGTGCAAAAAACTGATAAATTGGACTTCCAACAAAATTAAAAATGTTTGCTCTGTGAAAGCCTGTATAAAGATGGTGAAAGGACAAGCTACAGAGTGGGAGAAAATATTTACAAACCCCGTAACAGACAAAGGACTAGTAGCTAGAATATATAAAGAACAAAAAAAAAAAAAAAAAAAAAAAACAAACAATCCAGTTAGAAAATGAGCAAAACACATCAAGAAACAAGCAAATAAAAATGGATATTCAGATGGCAAATGAACACGTGGAAAGATGTTCACTAGCCATTAGGGAAATGCAAATTGGAACCACAACCAGATATCACTACAGACTTCTCAGAATGGCTTAAATAAAAAAAATAGTGACAACATCAAACACTGGTGAGGACGCAGAGAACCTGGGTCACTCGTACATTGCTGGTAGGAATGTAAAATGGTTCAGCTCCTCTGGAAAATGGTTTGGTATCTTCATGAAAAACTAACCATGGGATGGCTGTTATAAAAAAATGAAAAATAACAAGTATTGGTGGGAATGTGGAGAAAATAGAACCCTTGTTTATTGCTTGTGGGAATGTAAAACGGTGCAGCCACTGTGGACAACAATTTGGCAGTTCCTCAAAAAGTTACACAGAATTACAGTATGATTCAGCAATTCCTCCCCTGGGTATATAAAGGCAGTCCCGGATTACAAACGAGTTCTGTTCCTAAACCTGTCTTTAAGTCGAATTTGTATGTAAATTGGAACTGTTTGTATCTAAGGTCAGTTAATAAAATGTTTGTCTTAGTATATAGTATATAGTGTGCCTTTTTACGCATAAAAAAATTGAAAACTTCCAGATACACTAAAACACTTTAACATAATAATAAACATTTCTACTACTACTAATGTCTTGATGGACATCGCAAAGCAGTTTTCACACAGAAACCTATACAGGAATGTTTATAGCAGCTTTATTTATAACAGCCCCAAACTGGAAACAACCCAGATGTTTGAATGGGTGAATGGTTAAAACAAAACAAACAAATAAAAAACACTATGGAATACCTATACCATGCAATACTCCTCAGCCATAAAAAAAAAAAAAACGAACTATAGATACGTGTAACAACCTGGATGAATTGCCAGGGAATTATGCTGAGTGAAAAAAGCCAACTCCAAAAGGCTACGTACTGTAGATTCCAATTACATAATAATTCTTAAAATGACAAAGTTATATAAATGGAGAACAGATTGGGGTGGAAGAGAAGTAGGTGTGGTTGTAAAAGGGCAACATGAGGGATCCTGGTGGTGATGGAATGTTTTGTATTTTTATTGTGTCAATATCAGTATCTTGATAGTGATACTGTATTCGAGTTTGCAAGATGTTACTCGGGAGAAACTAGGTGAGGGGTACACCTATTCTCTCTGTATTATTTCTTACAACTGCATGTGAAGCTACAGTCATCTCAAAATAAAAAGTTCATTTAAACAAAAGGGTTCCAGAGCCAAATGAGTTTAGGTAACACTGCATTTTTTACACCTCCCCCTCCCCCAGGGAGCCAAGTTCATTCTAAAATCTTTGAATAAGCCTTGCAATAAGGAAACCAAAAAAAAAAAAAAAACCGAAACCCACTGCCGTGGAGTCGAGTTGATTCTGACTCATAGCGAACCCCTTAGGGTTTCCAAGGCTATAAATCTTTACGGAAAAAGACTGCCACATCTTTATCCAGAGGAGTGGCTTGTGGTTTCGAACCACCAACCTTTCCGGTTAGCACTTTAAATAAGGAAACATATTTAACTTTGGTGAACCTAATGTTTCCCATTGTATTGGAGCATGGAACCGCCTCCATTCCCCAGGATATATCTTGATGTTAATCTAACAGGAATTTGTATTCCTCACACCCTTGTTACTCACTGTGCGGTCCTGGACCAGGAGCATCAGCGTCTCCTGGGGGCTGGTTAGAAACACAGAGTCCCCACCTCAAACCCACTAAAGCAGAATCTTTATTTTAGCAAGATCTCCAGAAGATTCATCTGCATATTGAAGTCTGAGCAGCACTGACCTAGAACACACTTTGATTAACACTGGAATAGGATGCTGCATTTTACACAGCACCATGAAAACCATTGTTATATTGAACTCTGAGGGGCAGGCAAGAAGTCGTTTTAGGGGAAACCAGAGGCTCAGAGGTTAAGGTGAACAGCCCAAGGTCACCTGCAATAAGTGGCAGGGCTGGGACTAGCAAACGAAGGTCTCCTGCGAGAATAAGTAATATTATTCACTTTAACTTTTCTTTTATTATTCACCTCAAATACTTACTAAGCCAACCTGCCTTAAATTTTCTTTGTTAAAAGACTGTAGAGACCATGAATTCTCAGCACAGCATGTCCTCATGTCCATTTTCTCGAGGGCTGGAGAGGACCCCACCCGTCTTCCCTGGACTGGCTTACGGAATCTCATTGCCCTCCTTGTTACTTCTCCGCTCTGACTGTGATTTGAGGTGGGGTGGGCTGGACCACCTCCAAGGCGTTTCGTGGCTCAGACAGTCCTTGTTTCTGTGACTGTTTAACTGTCTCTCCTCTGTCAGCTAGTCACTTCCTTTCATTCTTCCATGAATATTTACTGAGCACTTACTATGTACTAAGGAGTCCCGGGGTAGTGCAACTGGTTAAACGGTCGTTATTCACTGAAAGGTTGGCAGTTCAAATCCACCCAGAGGTGCCTCAGAAGAAAGATCTACTTCTAAAAAATTAGCCACCGAAAACCCTATGGCACAGTTCTACTCTGACACACATGGGGTTTCCATGATCGAGAGTTGCCTTGACGCCCACTAGTTTAGTTTTTTTTTCTTCAGTCTACCGTGTGCTAGGTGCTACGGATACAGTGGTGAGCCAGACAGACAAGGTGTCCGCCCTTGCAGAGCAAGTATAGATTAGTCGAGTCAGTGGTTTCACCCAAGGATACCCCTAGGAAGCTTTTCATTGTTTTATTACTATTAGTTTGTCTCTCTAAATTACTATCAGCTTATTTTCTTCTGATTGTTTTTAAAGATAAAAATGAAATGTAGCAGGGAAAAAACAGCCAGCCATCTTTAGTAAATTAAGGTTTCTCCTTGACGCCCCCCTCCCCCCCTTCCGTATTTGGGCTCCCTTGGCGCCTCTCTTTTGCAGGGTTCGGGTCTCCACGCAGAGACCTTCCAGTCCGACATTGCTCCAGCCAGGAAACAAACAGGCATTCCAGACCGTTTGGTTAAGCCAGAGGGTCAAACTGAAGGGCAACTCAGAATGAATTTGCAGCTGAATGCTTTAGCGCTGCACACCCCAAGAATACTGGTGTTTGTTCTTTCTGACAGGAAAACAAACACGGTCGCCCAGAAAGGAAGAGAGTCGGGGTTGAATTATCTGTCTAATCCGTTTAGGAGATGGCTTAGGGGATTGTCTTTTTCTGGCACTTGTTAATCACCTCTAACTCACCCTCCCTAACACCTCAGGGGCCTGGGATTTAGTCTGATGTAGCTTCAGCCTGTGAGGTTCCTGGGACTTTCCCAGTCCCAGTCCATTGCACTGGCCAGGACATCTTCCTTGTCCCCGTGAGGGCAGGACTGGTGCCACAGGCCAAGGGCAACAGGTCCACCCTCATCTAGACGAAGGCTCCGTGGACCCAGCGTTGACCTATGGCTTCTCATGCCTGAAGCGGGCCAGAGACCAGAACCAGGATGGATTTTGGGGCCTTGGAGACTGTGGTGGCCAATTCTGCCTTCATCGCCGCCCGGGGCAGTATTGATGGGAGCAGCACCCAGTGTTCCCGGGACAAGAAGTACTTTGCAAAGCTCAAGCTGCCCCCCCTCTCCAAATGCGAGTCCCTTCGCGAGAGTCTCAACCTCGAGTTTGAAAGTGTGTGTTCAGAACAGCCCATTGGCAAGCGCCTCTTCCAGCAGTTCCTGAAGGCAAACGACAGGCACGTGCCCGCCCTGGAGCTCTGGAAGGACATTGAGGACTATGACACAGCAGACACCAATTTCCGTTTGCAAAAGGCCCAGGCCATCCTGGCTGAGTACTTGGACCCCCAGGCCAAGCTCTTCTGCGGCTTTCTGGACGAGGGGATGATGGCGAAGGTGAAGGCGGTGCACGCAGCTGTAGAGGATGGACTCTTCGAACCCATCCTGCAGGCCACCATGGCGCACCTGAGCCAGTCCCCCTTCCAGGAGTACCTGGAGAGCCTCTACTTTCTGCGATTCCTCCAGTGGAAGTGGCTGGAGGCCCAGCCCATGGGGGAAGACTGGTTTCTGGACTTCAGGATCCTGGGGAAAGGGGGATTTGGGGAGGTGTCAGCCTGCCAGATGAAGGCCACTGGCAAGATGTATGCTTGTAAAAAACTGAATAAGAAGAGGCTGAAGAAAAGGAAGGGGTACCAAGTAAGCAGCCGCAATAGTTCACAGCAAGTGCAAAGTAAATGGCTTTTAGATTCCCACGGTGGGGTGGGGCGGGGCGGGTGGGTGAGGATCTGAGAATGTAAATTAGAATGTAGAGGATTAGTCAATGTCCTAATGGCCCCCCCTTAGCTGGCTTGCACGCTGGAGGTAGAAGACAACCTTGCCTTGGACAGTATGTTAACCTTGCCATTGGCCATCCAAACCCTCTTCACTGGTGCAATCATTGGCTCATTTCTAGAGCATTTTCTTCTGCATCACGTTTAAATATCGCACATCAAAATTAGTCCTTTTTCCTTCTTTCTTTTTTATATTTTTGTGGCATTGTATTTCAGCTCTTGCTGTTTTCTGGCCACAGTGTGGACCTAGCAGGATGCGGTGTATGACCTCTAAATTCCTCTCCAGTCCTGTGATTTGATTTGTCCCGCTGCTGTTAATAAGGACAGAGGGTTTGCAGACCTCCCTCCTCAGAGAGCAGCCTTGGTGTTCGCTTCTTGATGTGGTGATGATGTTCCACGTTTGGTCGTCTTTCTTTCTTTTGCTAACACCCCTGAAATACTGTAGCAAGTTTAAGGGGAAGAGTACCTTATAGGGGAAAGTGGTTTAGGGGATTATTCTTCTGGATTCTTTAGTCTGACTTTCTGAAAGACTTTCCCCAAACCCTTACATCATATTATGACAGAAAATGCCCAAAAAAATTGTGGCAGGAATTGTGTCAAATATCACTTTTTAAAAAATAGACTATTTTTAAAGCAGTTTTAGGTTTATAGAGAAATTGTGCAGAAAGTACAGTGAGTTCCCATATACCCCTTCTCTCCTACATGCAGCCAAATCTCACTTTGATTGACATGTTTATATGAGACGGAAACCCTCTGTAATGCTGGGGTGCAGGATGTTTTTGCCCCTGAAGGCAGGTATTTTCCAGGGAATGTGAGTGAATGGAAGGCATGTACAGGTTGCTCTAAGTTTTATCCTCTCCACCTAATTGGCTTCAGAATGCCCTTTTAGGACAGGATCTGTGAAAGCTGCTTACAATGTCTTACGAATACATCTCCTAAAGCAGCCTCCCCAGCTGCACATTCTGCCACATACAGTTCTCTTTTGCTCTTTCGAGTGGCACAGCACAGATAGTGCTGAGGGCAGACAAAGTGTTTAGGGTTAAACAGAACCATCACAAAGCATCGCCCAGCTAGGTGTCTCCTTGACAGTGGGCCAGGCACACCTGTCATTTAGGCCTATTAGCTAACGGTTAGATAGGTAGCTAGCTAGCTGCTGTTGAGTCGGCTCAGGCTCATGGCGACACTGTGTACAGCAGAGCGAAGTGTCGCCTGGGGCTATGTCATCCTCACAATTGCCAACATGTTCGAGTCCATTGTTGCAGCTATTGCACAGATTTATCTCTCTCACTGAAAGGTTAAATATCAGATGTTTATGGTAACCAGTTGAGTGAAGGGATCCAGCAAAATCCACAGTGATCTAACTGTGAGATTTGGTGGTAGAAGTAATTATGGTTGTATAACTGTAATTTTAATTCAACAATTACAGTGCAATAATCTCTTCTCCCTTTTGCGTTCAGTAGCCTACTTGAACTTAATACAAAATAAAATCAACCTAAAATATTTCCATGCAGGTGCAGATAGAAAGGGCCTTCTCCAACATCAAGAATTCCTTCCTCAAGAAAAGATTCGGCTTGCCTTATCCAAACACAACTTTTAAAAACATGTTTAAATGGAACAGCATGGGGTTTTAAAATAGAGATAAAAAATGAAATAGAGGTGTGAGGCAGTTTGAGGAGGGGCTCTGGCGAAGTGTTCTCTGTCTCCACAGAAGCCTGAAAGAGAGAAAAGAGGAAAGATGAGTTGGTTAGAAAGGAAAGCACTAAGGGAAAGTAAACACTAAAAAGGTTGTCAGAAGAAGGTGGAAACTTATTCTGATATTTTAAAAAACTGGTTGGTTTGAGCATCACCTGCCTGGAGGCTGATCCAGCAGACTGCCTAGTCCTCTGTACATTAATGAATATGCCATGTCAAGTTTTCTTTCTATGAAATGGGGAGAGTGACACCTGTTTATGTTACTTGCAATTGCTTTTTGCAAACTATTTTTAAAACATATTGGCAACTATGTTTCTATTTTTTGTGTGCATACATTAAGCAGAATGCAACACTGTGTAGCTCATGGTCTTAATGAGATTTTCTAGGCTTGTGGAACTTGGCCTTTTATGAAGATGGCACTTTTCCACCTAAACCTGGGTACTTATTCAACATCTTGCTTTTCAGGGTGCTATGGTAGAGAAGAAGATTCTAGCAAAAGTACATAGCAGGTTTATAGTCTCTCTGGCCTATGCGTTTGAAACCAAAGCCGAACTCTGTCTGGTGATGACCATCATGAATGGAGGCGACATAAGGTAAAGGGACCTTCTCCAGATGTGGGAGAGGGTGACCTGGCTGTGACCTGGGATAGAGAGGGTCTGACGGTCCGAGCTTGGTGAGAAGATCTCTGGGACCTGACCGAGGATGCTTTCCATGTGGGCAGAGCTGCGGCTGCTCATGACTTGCTATTTGATGAGCAGAGGGAAAGCCCTGTGCCCCAATCAAAATTCTCTTCCTAATTTCCAGCTCTGACACCTGAAATGCAGTGCCCTCAGTCTCTTACGAAAGGCAGGTAACCCTAGGGGAAGTAGGCCATTTGTATGACCCTGTGAATCAGGATGTCGCTCCCTTTCTTAAGCTGGGTTTGGTTTGACATTGGGGAGGTGGGGCTGAGGGGTGCAGACAGCAAGCACATATGATGCTATGGGTAGAGTGGTCAGCTAGTATGAACTGTTTGGATGGATGAATAATGGGGTGGAGGTGGGGGGCCTAGAGAGGGGTTGAGGGCTTTCCATTAAGAGGGCTGGTAAATGAAGACAAACGTCATCAACTTCCCCATTCTGTGAAGGGCCGCTCTTAGGACATGACAACAGAGCTAGAAACACAATGTGGCCAGTTGAAGAAACCATGGTTTTCCCATCACCTGGCAGAAAGGATGAGGTCGTGTCTCAGCATTTGCCCTGTGCCTTGATTTGCCCTAGATCTGAGAGCCAGGCCCTGGGCTCCTGAGGAGAAGTCAGATCATTGGCTCTCAGAGAGGGGAAAGGGACTCTGGACTCTTTGGGAGGCTTGGATGATCTAAAACCCTGACTGGGTTTGAGCTCAGTCACCTGAATTTTATTTTTGGGTGAAGGGAAGGAAAACTAACTCATTTACTAGCTGGGCAACCTAATCTCTCCTTGACTCAATTTCCTGATCCATAAAATGTGGATAAATAATACCTATGTTTGGAGCCCTGGGGGTACAGTGGTTAAGAGCTCAGCTGATAACTAAAAAGCTGGCAGTTTCAAATCCACCAGCCGCTCCTTGGAAACCCTATGGGGCAGTTCTACTGTGTCCTATAGGGTTGCTATGAGTTGGAATCAACTCGACAGCAAGGGGTTATGTTCAAAGGTTGTTGTGAGGATCAAGTGTGGTAATATACATGGAATACTTAGGAGAGCAGCTAGCACATATAAGAGTTAAATAAAAGTGAGATACTGCTATTATTGTTGTTATTTGCAAGGCCCTGCACATCCATTCTCTCATCTGGTTTTATCTCTATTGAAACTCCGTGCGGTAAGTTTGATTGCCCCATTTTACAGATGAAGAATCTGAGGACTAGATTAAATAACCCATTCAAGGTCACAAGAAAGGGGAGGAAAAGTGTGTTAGGAAGCACAGATAAAATACTTTCAAGACAATGGAAATGAAAATGATATTTTCAATTATTTATATTTTATAAATTTATTAATTATTAATTTTACAGAGAAATTTATAGTATTATTTATTTTTATTATTCTAGCTGCCTTGTGTTCAGCTCTAATTGGAAGAGTTTCCTTAGGAATCCTGCTCTGTCTCTACTCTCCCTGGTTGTTTATCTAGTTTTAAATAATTTATCTCATTTTATTCGTTAACCAAAAACCAAAACCAAACCTGTCGCCATTGAGTCAGTTCCGACTCATAGCAACCCTATAGGACAGCAGAACTGCCCCATATGGCTTCCAAGGCTGTAATCTTTAAGGAAGCAGATTGCCAGGTCTTTTCTCCCACAGAGCGGCTGATGAGTTCGAACCGATGACCCTTAGGTTAGCAGCCAGGTGCTTAATCACTATCCATCAGAGCTCCCTTTGTATTCATTAGGTTTTGTTTCTCTGTAAAATGTCATAGTGGAAAAAATAAGAAGAGGTGTATATATCACTCCACAATCCATCAAGGACTCTGCTTCTTAAGGTTGGCTGAAATAGCTTATATATTTATATAGACTCTAAATAAATTATTTATATTTTGAAATAACTTGGACAGCTTATCCAGATATCTCTCGCCTTCCTCTGTGCCTTTATTCATTCCATTGGCGGCAGTGGAATGGCTTTGAGGCCTGTTTTCCAGCTTCTGCGGCCAGCGTGGGGAAAGGAAAGGGAGACAAGATGACTTTGAGTCATCCCCGTTTCTCCCCTTTAACAGCGTGGTTAAGTGTTTGCGAGGACGTTAAAGCCACCAGCTAAAACAGGATCTTGGTATTGCCTCTGGTGTGGTATCTAAATAACCAGACAAACGTCCCTGCAGCCAGACAGTCCCGTGAAACAACGTATGCTTCTGAAGCCTTCGCTGGTTTTCAGGGGGCACACTGCTTGGAGCTGGGCATAGACAAGTACTTGCCTCTCTCACGGTGGTCTGTTCCCCCAGGTATCACATCTATAACGTCCACGAGGACAACCCTGGCTTTGAGGAGCCGCGTGCCGTCTTCTACACGGCCCAGATCATCAGTGGGCTGGAGCACCTGCACCAGAGGAGGATCGTCTACCGGGACCTCAAGCCCGAGAACGTCCTCTTGGACAAGGACGGTGAGGGCCAGCCTTTCCCCACACAGTGTTCCCCGCTGTCTCAGGGGTGGATTATGCGAGTCAGTCCAGCCAGGCTGCTCTCTCCCAGCTTGTCTTTGTGCTCCATACAGTCTCCTTTAAGAGGAGTGAACAGATTTTGTTACATTTTGCTACATTTAAAAAACCAAACCAAACCCACTGCCCTGAGTTGATTCCAACTTACAGCAACCTGCAAAGACAGAGTAGAACTGCCTTATTGGGTTTCCAAGGAGCAGCTGGTGGATTCAAACGGCTGACCTTTTGGTTGGCAGCCAAACACTTAAAAGCACACTTAAAGGCACCATGTGTAGCTTATATAAAGAGGAGGCCTCGTGGTGCAAATGGTTAAGCACCTGGCTGCTAACCAAAAGGTTGGCAGTTTGAACCCACGCAGTGGCCCCGGGGGAGAGGACCTGGCAAACTGCTCCTGTCAAGATTGCAGCCCTGGAAACCCTATGGGACAGTTCTGTTCTGTCACAGGGGGTAGCTATGAGTCGGAATTGACTGGACGACACCCAACAATAATAACATAGCTAAGAAAGCACTACAGTTTTAAGGGCACATCTTAAATTTCATTATTTTCATTCAACCATTCGAAGCAGAAAAGTGGCTGGCAGAATCTTCAAATGGACATTATGATTTTTAATGGACTTTGGTGAACTGTGGTTCATCCAAAGATATCTATTGTTCTTAGATCTACTAGTAAACGGTTAACAATTTATGGCCAGATCCTTACTGTGTTTTTTTTTTTTTTCCCTTTCTGGCTTATATGTGAAATCAAATTGGGATTCTTCTCAGAAACTAAACATAGAGATGTAGGCATCCAAAACTGTCTTTAGATTGCCCTCCGTTCATATCAGAAAATCAAGGAAATACATAGGTATTCACCAAAGCTGTTGCGGCAGAGATTGGGAAAGAGAAAGCAGATGAAGAAACTGAATTTTGGATTGATTATGCCCTAAATTCCAGTTGCAGGTACTGATGGTGCTCAGTCCCCAGCCCCCTCTGTCCCCTCTAGGCCTCTCTGCGGTCTGGCCAGGGAAGGAGGGGGGAGAGTTTCCCCCAGGTACCTGGGCTGCTGTGACCTTGCTGCCCATGCGGCCATCCAGGTGTGTGCAGAGGGTGGTGCTTGGCTCCCTTGAGGCTCTGGGCACGCCAGACTCTTTGTTCTGTGGAGTCACGTGTGACCTTAGTTGATGTTTGCTTTTCAGGCAATATACGAATCTCTGACCTTGGGCTGGCAGTGGAACTGAAGGACGGGCAGACCAAGACCAAGGGCTATGCAGGGACTCCAGGTAAAAGGGGCAAAAGAGACAGGGGGCAGCTGCTTCTGCTTCCTTGGGAAGGGTAAGCAGATGAGCCCCTCTCCAGGGCAAGGGAGCAAGAAGCAAGGACCCCTTTGGGTCTCCACGGACTGGGGGTGGGGTGAGAGGCATGGTGAGGGGTGGGACAGGCAACAGATTCAGGCTGGTGTGGGGAGCGAGATTTTCTTACCCTTTGGAGCAATTATAAAACATTAGCGGGGTTTGCCAATGGACATGCACAGATGTATTAACCTGGAGCTGTCCTAAGAGTCTGTCATTCACTGTAGAAATAATCCCCCCTACTTAAAAAAAAAGATTGATGTCGACACACAGTGGCCTCTATGATAAAAGCTTTCTCCTTTAGGTGCCTTGATGGGCCACTCCCTCCAGAAGAGTCCAGAGAGCAGATGGGACCCCAGAACGGACATTTAGGGCTTTCCTGGCATCAGCCTCATGAGTTTGTCCAGAAGCTCCGACCATGGGGCAGACTGGAGCTCCGTGGGCCTGCTCTAGATGAACCACATCACAGAGCACTAGGTTCAGGAACTCAGCTTTTGTTAGCCCTTTGTTTACAGTCCTTAATGCTTGCTAACTTTAATAAAGCCTGTGCCAGCACTTCATGGGCATACACCCGCATACAGTGTGATCAGACTAGAATGACAGTCAAGAGGTTAACTTGCCCCAGCCCTCAGCACGGTCAAGGCCTTTGCTGTCTAAGGAAAGTCTAGCATAGAGTGTGGAGTCCCTGGGTGGAGTTTGAAAGGTTGGAGGTTCGAGTCCGCCCAGAGGAGCCTTGGAAGAAAGGCCTGGGGATTTACTACTTCTCAAAAAATCAGCTATTGAAAGCCCTATGGAGCACAGTTCTACTCTGACACACATGGAGTCACCATGAGTCAGCGTCGACTTGATGGCAAGTGAAAAAAAAAAAAGTGTGGAGTATAGTGCTGACGAGGGATAGGGGCCCTGAAGAAGAAGGAGCTGCTCTTGTGCAAATAACAAAGTCGGAGTAGATCCGTCTGCATGTCAGGAGTGTCCCTGAAGCCCTGCTGCCTCCTCCACCCCATCTCCGTCTTCTCACAGCCTTCCCTCCAGGCAGGAAGGAGCAGCACTGTAGAGGAGAGAGGAGATACTTTAGAGTCAGGTGGAGCTGGCTTCATATTCTAGGCACGTTCCTTATTAGCTGCGTGACCCTGGGTAATTCACTTAACCTCTCTGAGCGTTAGGCTCTTTATCTGCACAATGGAGATGATAATACCACTCCAGCCTTGTTGTGAGAACTAAATATGACAATGTTGTCAAAAGCACCTGGCACGTAGTAGCCACTCAATCAATTGTAATTCTTATTTTTCTTCCACATTCTTGATGAGTCAATGTTTCCAGGCTTATTTCGGATAAGACGTCTTACCAAATATCTTTTTTTCCCCTGATTTGTTGTGGCCTTAGGGAGAAAGCGCTATCACCCCGAAATTGCGGTGTTGTACAGAGTAACAATTCAGATCTTGTTTTATACCGTTGAATCCTCCTGCTTTGAGCACCTTTTGTGTTTGTTCCTGTTGCCCCAGTACGTTTGTCCACATCTGTAACAGTATTAAGGGGAAAGGTTATGCCTGGAAGAAGGATGAGAACTGTTCTTTCCCCTCGTTGGCGAGGAAGGACAACGCTGGCGAGAGACTTTCCACACGAACACACTTTGCGTCTGTGTTGTATTTGTCTGGAGCAGAATGCAGTAGGTGCTGAATGGCTCTGGGCTCCGTCAGAGGCATCCCCAGTTATGGAAAAGATCGTTTTGGAAGGCAGCTTGTCTGTAAAGCAGTTCCACAGCAGGGCAAAGCCTTGGGGGCGGCCTTTGCTTTTCACGTAACAACAGCCCTGTTCTGTGTCTGTGGCAGAAATGCGCTGGGAAGACTGTATGCTGTCTTCTATGTTACCCGAGTTTGCATAATCCTCAACCAAAACTCATGAAGTTCTACTCCAGGGCATTTTTCCTCCCTGAAAGCTCTTTACTCACATCTTTCAGGGAGATTCAGATCATTAGGAGAAAACTACAAAGAACATCTCTACAGCAAAATGCGTCAAGATTCCCTGACAAAGTCAGGATTTGATGTACAGTAGTGGTGTTAATATAAACTATTAAGATCGTTGCTTTACACGCTAAGTGTGAGGGTCAAACTGGCCACCAGAGGGCGCCATTGTCATTGCTATGGAAGGAATCACTTTGTTATCACGCTGAACGCTAGGTGGTACAAAACTTTCTGAGACGGCATCTCTCTATTAGCCCGGGCGCATGGTGTGTGCAGAAATCACCCTTTACGTTTGCTATTAGGCCCTGGCTGTGACTCTAAAACAGATAATAGTTGCTGATATTGGAGTGCAAGTGAAAAGGCTGGGGCATCAAGCAAAGCTAAAGGAGCTCCCCTCCAGATCCTTCTCCTAGTTCCTCCCGTGAACCCTTCGAGCTCTATCCTCGTGATAGGAATAATGCCGACAGCAGCTCCACCTGTAGCTGGTGCCCTGCAACTTTCACAGGTGGTTGTCGCCTCAGTCAGTCAGTGAGTCAATCCACCGATAAACAGTAATCTATGAGGCAACTCATTTTGCTAGTCCTGCCTATGGAACAGTTCTGCTCTGTCCTATTGGGTCACCATGAGTTGGAATTGACTCGATGGCAAAGGGTTTGGGTTTTCTTTTGGTGCTAGCACGGTGGGACACACAACAGAAGTATAGGACACGTTCTTTGTCCTCAAAGGGTCTTCAGTCAGGTGGGGGAGATGAGTTAATATGCAAAAGAATTAGTAAATAGATTAAGATAGTATTCATTCATTCATCAAGTTCTTATGGTCACCTACTTTATTCCAAGCACTGTGCAAGACCCTGGGGATACTATCTATCTATCTATCTATCTATCTATCTATATATATATATATACACACACACACATGCACACACACACATATATATATATAATTTGGGATGGATTGTGTGGAACAGACCAGAAGTGCCCTGAATAATTTGCTCTAGGAGATGATTTATGGCTGGGCTTCAAGTTACTCATAATTTGGTCGGACCTTTCGCTTGGGCTCTTGATTTAATCTAGATATTGTGGTCACTTAAACATTCTTTCTCACATAAAACTCATTGCTGTTGAGTCGATTCTGACTTATAGAGATCCTATAGGACAGAGTAGAACTGCCCCACAGGGTTTCCAAGGCTGTAAATTTTTACGGAAGCAGACTGCCACATCTTTCTCCCACAGAGTAGCTGGTGGGTTTGAACTACTGACCTTTTGGTTAGTGGCTGAGTGCTTTAACCTCTGTGCCACAAGGGCTCCTTTCTCACATAGTCTGACCAAAAGTCTGGATAATGGTATAATTCTCTGAACATGCAGAATATAGAAAGATATATTTAGGTCCATGTTCCCTTAGGGTCTGTGGAATTTGATTTCTATAACCTCTTTGGAGTAAAATGATTCTGTGGTCTAATCATTTTGGCAAATGTTGCGAAGTACATCTTTCTTGAAAATTTATTGTGTAATTAGTATGTTAAAGGATCAGAGAGGAGCTAAAATAGATACAATTAGCTTTGCTTAACTCAGAATTTCTAAACTATCTGATCATCAGAAGCCAGTTCCCATGCCCCAGTCCATAACACCTATTTCTAGTCCCAGGGAAGTAGGGGTCATAGACCGCACGCATTTGCTGGTAAAGAAGAAGCCGACCTTTCCATCCTTCCCATGCACTGGACGAGGCCTTATACAGGTACTAACTAGGGAATGAGAAGTCTGGAAATTTGCTCTAGGAGTATGTTAACTTTCAATATGTGGAGTGCAGCATATTGTCCCGACTCCTGATATATGCCACAGAACTGGCATGGGGCAAGATAGAGCTATGACGGATATCTTAAAGTCTCATGGAAGTCTTACTTGACTAGAAACAGATATCTGATAAGTACCCTCTAGATCTTTTATCTAGAGGGTAGAAAGAATAAAGCACAGTGGTTACAAGCATATAGGAGTCAGGATAGCATAATAGTTAAGAATATGGACTCTGACACCAGACTGCTTGGGTTTGATTCTAGCTTCATGACTTTCTACATCTGTGTGATCTTGGGCAAGTTGCTTACAGTTCTTCATTTGTAAAACAGTCATAATTAGCTCATTGGCTGGGCATGTAGCTTAAAACGGATTACTGTACATTGAGCACTTAGGGCAGGCCTAGAACATAGGCGAGACATGTAAGTGTGTGCCATTGTTACTATTGGTGGGGCTCAGAGAAATGTCTATGGACCTATAGGGAGGATTTTGTGGAAGTAGATGGCACAAACAAATGTGCATGGGAGTAAGCAAATATGTCTTGGTGCTTGTGATGACCGGGAGCAGTGGCAGAACATAGGAAATTTCTGATGTGAGACAGACATGAGTCTGCAGTATATCACTCTAGAAGGAAAGACTATTCGCAAGGATGAGGAATCCTCAAATGTGTAATTATGACCTTGAAATAAAAAATTATCCCTTTGAAGAGAAAAGTGGGAGACACTGAAAGAGACCAAGACAGAAGAATGAAAGAACAGCACGTGGTCTGGTGTAACTGTAAGAAATGGCAGGGATCTAGCAGAGCACTGCCCGAAGTCTGGAGGGAATTGTGACTGGTAAACAACACTGAGGACAATTCAAATGCAAGAAGATGGTCAAGGAATAGAGAGGTCCACTGCTTTTACCCCTGTTCAATATTGATGGACGATCTAGAGAAAGCAGCTCCTATTTTTAATCTTGACTCCTTTGTCATAGAGAAGGAGTAAGTAAGTAATAGTAAGAAAAATGGAATGTGAACCTACTATGGGCAAAAGGATTGCAGGAGGCATTTAACTGCTTTAAAATGGTTCAGGCCACCAGGTGAGGGTAAATTCCCATGTCAGGGTGCACATAACTTGCAGGTGAGGTTACGGAACCACTGTTAATGATTGCTGAGAAATAGTGGGAAGTGGGAGCGGGGTAAAGACAGTATAGATGATTTCCGGAATTTCAGAGCAGTTAATTTCAACAAATTAGATAGGTGTGACTTGACTTTGCTTTCAGGCAATAATCAAGAATAAGTTATCAAAGGGATTTTCTGATCATTGAAGAAATCATGGTGATCCCTAGAACTCAATGTTGATATTAACAAGACATAAACAACTATAGACATATAAACAAGACATAACCAGACTCAATTATTCCTTTATCAGGCTGACATGACCAATATATCAAGGAAATGGAGGGGAAAGTATATTTTGAATTAAGTAAAGTATTTGGAAGTGATCTCTCATGGAGAAAATTAATACCTGAATACGTAGATTGATTGTTTTCCCTACTGAAATCTCAGAATAACAGTAGTGAAGGGATTTTATTAAAACCTACATGGACAAACGAGAACAGAAGATGATACAACAGCAACATTTTGGCAGCTAGAAAATAGATGGATGAATGGTAACTAACTTACAAACTTGAGAAAATTAAATCCTAAGCTAGCAACAGAACCCCCAAACAGCACAGAAATTGTCAGCATCATGTACCTCTGGAAGTGAGAGTGAATAATAGGCATTCCAAAAACAGAACAGAATACTTGGAGGGGAAGAAATATATCAGTAAAACTTCCCAGAATTGAAGGACATGAGTTTCAAGACTGAAAATGCCCAGCACAATGGATGAAAATAGACCTCCACAAAAGCACATTATTGTGAAATTTTAGGACAAATAAGACACTATAAACTTCTAGGAAGGAAAAATAAGTCTCATACAAAGCATCAGGAATCAGAATGGTATCGACATTCATAAAAGTAATACTATATGTGAGAAGACAATGGAAAAAGTTTTAAAAATTCAGAGGGGGAAAAAAAAAAAATGCCTAGAATTTTATACCCAGCCAAACTATCAGTTAAAGATTGGTGAAATAAAGGCATTTTTACATGTGGAAGTTCTTAAATATTTACTTCCTCAGCACTCTTCCTTAGAAAGCTACTTGACCAAAACAAAGGAGTAAACAAACAAACAACAACAAAAAGTGGAAAATCTGGAAGTTAGGAAAAGGAGAGAAGAAGGTGTCAGGGTGATAGAGAGATTCTAGGCTGCTAGCTGCACACCATAATTCAGACTGCAGCAAGTAAGAAGTTTCCATAAGACTCTCATGAGGAAGAAATCAATAAAATATTTGATGCACCAAAACATGATAGGGAATTAAAGAATTGTTAGACAATTTTGGGTTGAACTGGTGATAAGTACATAGAAAACTAAGCAAATGAAAAACAAGACAATATAATCTGTGAAAACTGAAAAACATAACATAACTGAGGTTTAATTTTTGGCTCAGCTGGGAATAGTGCTGACCTGAATGTTGATCAACCAGAATAATATATTGGGAGAGTGGAAGAGGTGAGAAGTGTGGACGAGGCATGAGTGGTGAATGGATGAGAGCTAGATCCTCAACTTCCAGGATGGTAAGTCAACTGATGAGACCCCAAACAGAAAGATTCAAAAGTAGCAATATAAACATGTTAATTAGAGATATGGATATTAATTCCAAAATAATCAGCTAAAAGAATTCTGAAAAAGGAGAATAAAGTAGAGGAGAAGGGGTTAGGGGACTACTATCTTTTAGAACTATCTGATTCTTTACGCACTTGAATCACTTTGATAAAAATAAAAACTAAGTTATAAAAACACAATTAGGTAGATAAGTAATGAGTTTAACTATCATGTCTAAAGAACAATGGAGTGGTTGGGAGTTCAGATGTTAGTGCTGTAGCCCCTGGATTTGAATCCTTCCTCTGTTACACCTACTGTCTATGTTATCTGGAGCAAGTTACTTAAGCTTGCTAAGCCTCTACTTCCCTATCTGGAATATGGGAAGAGTAATTACACTTATTTCTTGGTGGTATGAGGATTAAATGAGAAAAGAATTGTACCTGCTATGGCACACAGCAAGCACTGAATACATGTCAGCTATAATAAGTATTATTAAAGGGTGCTGATAAATGGATCTATGTCAGTCTAGAATAAGTTTGTGAGTTGAATTCCACGAAGCTCTGACCTTGGCAAACTTTCCTTAAGCTTTAGCACCAAAATGTGGCACCTGGGACTTTACTCCAACTCTTTGTATCTTTGGTATGTCTTGGCTTAAACGTGTCCTTTTGTGGACAATTCAGGAAGAAAGCAGATCAAGAAGCAATTTGTAGTGCTTCTCTCTGCAACCAGTCATACACCAAATATACCTCTTAAACCCCATAAGTCACAGTCACACTTTTGTAGCTTGAGAGGCAAGGAAGGACAATCACTTCTCAGTTTGGTCATAGGGTGATATTTCCATCATCTCTAAGGTTGAGGTATCAGAAGGGGAAATGAGAATTCACACCACATGTGTAGATCAGTGGTTCTCAACCATGGGTGATTTTGCCACCAAGGGCACATTTGGCAATGTCTGGAGACATTTTTGGTTATCACAACCGGGGAAGGGGGGATTGCTACTGGCATCTAGTGAGTAGAAGCCAAGGATGCTGCTAAACATCCTACAGTGCACAGGTCAGACCCCACAACAAAGAATGTGGCATTGAGCTTGTCCTTGTGCCCTGACAGGTTTCATGGCTCCTGAGCTATTACGGAGTGAGGAGTATGATTTTTCCGTGGATTACTTTGCCTTGGGGGTCACGTTGTATGAGATGATTGCAGCCAGAGGACCATTTCGAGCCAGAGGAGAAAAGGTAGGAAATCTTTTCCCCTAGCAGATATCTTTATAGCTGCCGTGGTATTGAATTTCCTTCGTTTGGGGATGGGAGTAATGATAGGGTCTACTACTGAGGCAGAACTGGGCCTTGAGGGTTGTTCTGCAGGACCATGTTAGGGAAACAGACTCAAATTCAGGGATCTTGCTTCTGAGTGTTGTTTTCTCTCAATGGGGTGACTTCTCCAGGTCCAGCTGGGGCTAGTGTCCAGGAATGCCAAGGAACCTATGCAAAGAGACTGAAGGGGGCAGGGGTCCTAAGACCTGCTGGTAGAGTTGTTGAGGGATTTGAAATCCATTCTTTTGTCCCAAAGCAGGCATGTGGCAGAAGAGATATGTCCCCATCAACATGCCACTCAAGTCTTGAGCATTAGTTTCCTAATGGTAGACCCTTCCCTGGCAGAGAGAGAGGCGTTGTGATGACTTCATCTCATTGTAGCTCCAGGATACTAAGGGAGCATTTCAGTACAAGAGCTGCCTGAATCATCTCAAACTAGCACCCATGAGTAAATTCCCAGCTTCCTGTGGTGCTGTCTAGGCTAGTGCTCTCTGGGAGAATATGAGTGTATTGACTTACCTTCTCTGAATGGCTTTATTGCTCATCATTTCAGATCAATAAGCTCTTCTTCTCCCAAGATGCTGAAAGCCTGACTGGTAACACATGCCATACTCATAGGCACACAACTTTTCTGAAGTAAAACCATTGAATGTCCTGGAGGAAAATGGATATTTAATGTAGTTGTGTCCCTGACCCTCTGGCTACATACTTTTTTGTTGTTTCTTCTGCTGTTCAGTCTTCTGTTCAGTGATCATCTCCTAGGAATGGTCCTTGGCTCTCTAGGCCAGAAAACCACAGATAAAGATAATAATTGGAGATGCCCAATTACCTCTGCAAAATCAATGAAGCAAAACTAGCTTCTTCCCTTTGAGCAGATACTGTCTCAGAGAGCTCAGGAATATGACTATCTATTATATGACCAAAACAGTGATTGTCAACCAGAAATGAGAAGGTCAATGTCTCTGTCCATTCATGAACCTGATGTACAGGGCACTCACACAGTTGTTGTATCTTTAGATGCAACTACATTTCTTGCTCAAACTGACCACTCTCTCAACTTTGTCTGGAGGTGATGCCCATCATTTCCTTCTTCCTGGATCTACCAATCTGTTCCCACCCCTATCAGGCTTCCACACTTGCCCTCCCTTAAAATAGATTTTGGAACCAATTAAATTCTAAATCTTAAAATAACCAAAGAGTTTTCAGATGATTCTAACATATCTATAGACACTTAATGTCTCTGTAACTCTACCTTGAACTCTAATAATTAGTTCTCTCTCCCAACCTTGAAATCAACAATGCTCCAGCCACAATGAATGTTTCCTGCTACTTTCATATCAAGACCACTTTCAGCTACTCAACTTTATTACATCTCAAACCATCAAGTGATATTGTCTCCATATTAAACCCTTCCCCCAAGTTTTACATAGTGCCTAATTTATCTGGGGAAGGCTTCATGGGTGAGAGGAGATGATCTGGGTTGGAGCAGGGAGGGTGGAAAGAAGAGCGAGGAAGTTCCCACAATGGGGTTGCTATCACCAGTCTTGAAACAAAGACCCCGATACTGGTTGGATTGCTGCTGAAGCTGGTGCTGGTCCTCTGTTGTTGGGGAAGGCCATTCACAAAAGAACCATGTAATTGTCTGAGGCAACAAGAAGTGCAGCTCCAGCCCTTTGCCCTAGGAATATTTGTTGAGTCAGAGAGGGCCTATGACTGGAAGACCCATGTTTTTTCTGTGCCGTGTGGTGATACCCAGGAGGGAAAGAGCCTGTCTGCAGAGCAGAGGGAGGCTTCAGGAAGTAGAAGAGGAGGCAGCATCTCCTGGGGTGACAGCATTGAGGACTGCTGTCACCACTGCCTCAGAGTGTAGAAACTCAGCCTTAGAAAGGGACCTTCCAATTGACATGTCCAGACTCTCCCTGTGCAAGGAGTACTCCACAGTAGTCCTGGCAGAGGGTTAGCCAACTCAGTGTGATTCTAGATTGGTCTCTTGACCTCTGAAGGCCAAGAAAACAACTTATGTAGCCACAAATTACTGCTAACACAAGGCCTGGTCCTAACTTCCAACAGCTCTGAAAAACAAAACAGAACAAAACAGGGAGGGCGAAAGAGGTTAATAATTGTTTAGGAAGCAGTGAGTTTCTGCTTATGGTGATGGAAAATTTGGCAAGAGATATTGGTAATGGTTGCATAGCATGATTAATTGATCTCACTGAATTGTACATGCCCAAAATGTTGACTTATCACATGTGGTGTTATATATGGAGACCTAGTGGCACAGTGGTTAAAAGCTACAGCTGCTAACCAAAAGGTCGGCAGTTCGAATCCACCAGAAACTTTATGGGGCAGTTCTACCCTGTCCTATAGGGTTGCTATGAATTGGAATCAACTCGACGGCAACAGGCTTTTAGTTTTTTGTGTTATCTATATTAAAACAAAACAAAACAAACCAGTATGTGATTCACTTGCAGGTGGCCAGCCTCAGGGCTCACAATAAGAGCCCTCATTTGAGAGAGCTGCGCAGCTCTTATATCAGTGTTCACTCTGATTCTACAGCCCCAACCAGAATCCCAGTTATTCTGTGTATAAAATGAAAACGATGAGCTATTATGAGATTTCCTTCTAGGAGTTCAGTCAAAAGCACCATAATAAGCAAACGGTGGTCCATCCATCCAATGTTTTTGCTCAGCAACAAAAAGAAGTGAACCGTGGATACACTCAACAGCCTGGATGTATCTCAAACCCATTATGCTGTAAGAAAGAAGTCAGACACAGAGAGTAATACTGTACAGTTCCATTTATATGAAATCTTACAAAAGGCACATCTACTCTATTGGGACAGAAAACAGATCAGTATTTGTCTAAGGCACGGTGTGCAGAGATTGACTACAAAGGGCACAAGGGGACTTCTGGGAGTGATGGAAATGTCTGTAGCTTGACTGTGGTGGTTGACTGTGTGGTTACATGGGTGATCTATCAAAACTTGTCAAACTGTACACTTAAAATGGGTGTCTTTGTGATATGTATATTACACCTCAGTAAAGTTGATTGAAAATCCAGTCAAATATCGACAATAGAAAAATGAGAAGACCTCTACACCACCTGGGGTTTATAAAGTTAACTCTTTTTATTTTTTTATTTTTTATTGTTGTAGTTTAAATGAAGTTTACATTTCAAGTTACTCTCCCAGTGACGCCATCCGGGCGGGGCTTTTTTTTTGTTGGGAGTTTTTAAATTACCTTTTTAATCTCTTCTTTTGTTATGGGTTTGTTTAGATGTTCTACCTCTGTTTGTGTTAGTTTAGGTAGGTAGTGAGTTTCTAGAAATTTGTCCATTTCCTCTAGGCTTTCAAATTTGTTAAAGTACAATTTTTCATAGTATTCTGTTACGATTCTTTTAATTTCAGTTGTATCTGTTGTGATACTACCTATCTCATTTCTCATCTCATTTCTTATACGGGTTATTTGCTTCCTCTCCTGTTTTTCTTTTGTCAGTTTGGCCAATGGTTTATCAATTTTGTTGATCTTTTCAAAGAACCAGCTTTTGGTCTTGTTAACT